CCCAACATTGGCATCTCCAGCCCAACATTGTGCATCGTCAACCCACCGTTGGCATCTCCATCCAGCATTGGCGTCTCCAGCCCAACTTTGGCCATTGCCAGCCCAGAATTGAGGATCTTCAACCCAACTTAGGGCATCTCCAGCCCAACACTGGGAATCTTCAACCCAGCATTGGCATCACCAACCCCATGTTGGCATCTCCAACCCACATCACAGAGAAGACTGCTCTGTTACAACACCCTGGTGGCTTTTTCAGCCTCATCGCTGGCGCTGACGCTTGTCCTTTCCCGATCCTCCCCCATCTCATTCGAGCTCACATCTTAATTCCACTCAGCCCAAAGCTTTTCTCATCTCTTCCCCAATCCTCACAATCTGCACTTTTGATTCCTTTCCCTTCCTGCGATGGTTTTTACCCCTAGTGACACTGAAAGAGGGCTCCTTGTAGCCCTCCCCTCGAATTACAACCCGCCAGGTCTTCAGCCCACATCCTTGCAGCCGTAGGTAAGTGGAGCACCCCCAGAAGCATCCCGTTTCTTGGCCCGTCTTCCTTTTCTCTGCCTCCCCAGCCATCAACGTGCGAATTCTTCCCGGTGGTTTTGCTTTGGGAGGATGAAATCTCACACCGTGGGGCTTTGCCACGCGAGTGCACCTCGACCAGAGCGTTCTTGTGTTCCAAACTGCTGTTTGGGGGATGCTGCAGGACGGCACCTCGGCTCGGCCGGCGCGCATTGTGCTCCAGCTCTTCACTTTTGCCCAAAAAACTCTCGTTCCCAGCTTGTTGTCGTCCGCACGCAGATGGGAAAAGCTGACTTTTGCCAGAGCTTGGGATGAAATCCCGCTCCGTGCCATGGATGGATGAAATAACACCGCATGAGGCCGAGGAGCCGAGCGCAGTCGCCGTGGAATTCGCTGCCGAGGAATTTTTGGCCCGATAACCCAGCATCAGAGAAATGCGTTTCTGCGTTTCTCTCTTTTCTTGGCGGAGAGAAAATCCTGGGAAAGGCCGAGCTGGGAAGGCAGACTTGGTGCAGTTGTTGTGCTTTAAAAATACCCCCGAGCGAAGGAGGAGGAGGAGGAGGGAGAGGTCAGCCTTCGTCCGCTCGCACAGCCGGCCCCAGCGCTGGAGGCAGCGCTGCCTGTGCTGAGCTGCACTGCTGAGCTCCTTTTTTTCTCCCTTGCTTCCTGCCTTTCTCCCCCTTATCTCTGCCTCCCAGCGAGGCCGCATTCCTGGAATTGCTGCGTTCGGTCAGGCACAGCTCTGCTGCTTTTTCCCAGCGCTGCAGCAGCAGGGATGCGGCTGGAAGGAGGCTGCGGCTCTGTGCCAACATGCGGGGCCCCGGCCTCCGGTGTGGAGCTGGGCAAAAGCAGGGCATGAGCTGGACTTTGCCTTCCTCGTGGAATCGTTAAGGTTGGAAAAGACCTGAGATAATCTGTTCCAAGTTTGTCATAGCGAGCCCCGCCTTCCTTTTTTTTCCTTTTTTGGGGGGGGGAAGGGGTGCAGAGAGCAGCAGCGCCCGGGTGTTAATTTGTGCCGTCCTTCTCTTTGCAGAAATGGCACCAAAACTGAAGAAGAAGGGGCACTCTGGGCGAGAGCAAAAGAAGGTAGGACACGGAGCAGCCCCTGCTTGCAGGGCTGGGCTCCAAGCCCCGGGGGGGGGGGGGATCCCACACTCCCTCCCTCCACCAGCAGAGCCCTTTGCTCCGCTCGGAAGCCGTCCTGCTTCCAGCCAAACCCGAGCCACACAATCTCCCCGCCTTTCTCCCTTTCAGCATCACCACCACCACCACCAAGCGGTGCAGCAGCAGCAGCAGCAGCCGCCTCCTCCTCCTCAGCCCCCTCAGCAGCCCCCGCCGCCTCCGCCGCAGCAACTGCAGCCGCAGCAGCTGCAGCCTCAGCCTCCACCTCCGCCGCCCGTCCCCCCGCAGGCCCCGCCGCCGATGAAGTCCTCCCCGCCTCCCTTCGTACCTGCGCAGGTCCCCGTCATGGAGCACCCTCTCCCGGGGAACATGTTCGACACTATGCCGCATTTCACTCAGCCCATCATGCATCTCCCTCAGCCCGAGATGCCGCCTCATCTTCCCCAGCCGCCCGAGCACAGCACTCCTCCCCACCTGAACCAACACGCGGTGGTCTCGCCTCCAGGTGAGCGCAGCGGGGGGGGCTGGGGGCGCTGCTTTGGGTGCTGGAGGAGCCACGTTCAGTTCTGGGTACCTTCCATTGAGTTCTGGATACCCTACATTGGGTGCTGGGGGCGCTGCCTTGGGTGCTGGAGGTGCCATGTTGAGTTCTAGATACCCTACATTGGGTTCTGAGGGTCTGCTTTGAGTGCTGGAGGTGCCACTTTGAGTTCTGGATGCCCTACATTGGGTTCTGGATGCCCTACATTGGGTTCTGAGGGTCTGCTTTGGGTGCAGGGGCTGCTGCTTTGGGTGCTGGAGGTGCCACCTTGAGTTCTGGGTACCTTACATTGAGTTCTGGATGCCCTACATTGGGTTCTGGGTGCTCTGCGTTGGGTTCTGGGTGCTCTGTGTTGGGCTCTGGGTGCTTTGCGTTGATTCTGGGTGCTCTGTGTTGGGCTCTGGGTGCTCTGCGTTGGGTTCTGGGTGCTCTGAGTTGGGCTCAGGGTGCTCTGCGTCGGGTTCTGGGTGCTCTGCGTTGGGTTCTGGGTGCTCTGTGTTGGGTT